CCCAGCCTGCCAGAAGGAGCACCATCCAGGGACCCACTCTCACATCCTCTTGATTTCCTAGCCCCTGGCCAGTCAGAAAGGTGCAGGGCTTTGTCACAGGTCCAGGGACTGGCCAGTGGCAGGTACACAAGACCCATTAGGTCAGGGACCCACTGGGTCTACTGTCCTGTGCCTTGAGGGCTCCCCTGCTGGCCAGCTGGAGAAGGGACACAGCTCTGCTGTGAACTTTCCATGGGGCCTGGGGCAAGCCACCTGTCCCCTCAGGGCCTAGTTTCCTCCTGTCAGAGGGTCCTCTCCCACCTAAGGAGAGGCTGCCATAAAAATTACTTGGGACAATGTGTTTGGAACAAGACACAGGAGGTACCCAATAAATGTTAGCATTCATGTTACCTGTTCACCCTTTCCGAGGCATTCTGGTTCCTTCTTCTGTTTTCCCCATTTGCTTGGTTAAAGTCCAAAGGACACCCCAAATTCAACATTTTTATTCTTTTTTTTTTTCAGGGCTGAGACCGAACTCAGGGCCTTACACGTGCTAGGCAAGCGCTCTGCTACTGAATTGGATCCCCAACCCAGCAAATCCAACATTTTTGAGGCATGTTTTGTACTCAGCTCCCAGGGCTTAATGGGTGCGTGGTGCTTGTCCCAGTTCATGAGGTGGCCCAAGCCAGTCGGGGAGGCAGATACAGACACAACCCAGGCCCCTACGACACCCTGGCTCAGCTCAGTCTTAGAGGAGCCCAGAGGCTGTGGGCGTCCAGGGGAAGCCCTTGGTCCAGACTGATGGTGGTCAGGGAGGGGTTCCTGCAGAAGGGGCATCCTGGGCCTTGCAGGAGGAGAAGGCATGGGCTGGCCACTGGAGGATGAGGGCCATGGCTACATTAAAGGCCTTAAGGGTGGTGGGAATGGAGGAGGAAAGGTCACTGGGGAAGGCTTTGGGAAGAGTGCTCCAAAAGAGGACTCCAAGAGGGACAATGACATTCCTGGTCTCCAAGGGACCCACAGATGCCCAGAGGTAGGCTTCTGAGCAGGCTGATTCCAGAATTTCCCTAGTGGTAAGGGAGCTTCTCTGCTTGTGGCTGGAGCAGAGGGAGCACCTGTAGCTGGAAGGCTCCCTGGGATTGGGGGATGGGCTCGGGTGCCAGGCCAGGGGACTGGGCATTGATTTTGTGGACCATGGGGTCAATGAACCCTTGGCTTGGAGAAGAGCATGCTCCAGGGGTAGCGGAGAGAGAGGGCCTAGCAGGGACTACACCCTGGAATGCTCCCAACCCATCCCCTACCCCTTATCAGCTCTGTGACTGCAGGAAAGGCCCTTCCCATCTCTGATTTCCACATCTGCAAAGCAGACTGAGAGGAGACCAGAAGACTTCTCTGAGATACCTTCCCGCCTGGGAGTCTACGACTCAGGCCACGCCCACTGCAAGCTTTCACCCAGTTTGGAGGATGCCATCAAAGTCTGCCTCCCCCCACTCTGTTCATGGTCCAGCCCCTGGGGGTTCATCAATGACATTCCACCCCCAGGAATCCCTACTTTACCTCACAACCCTTGCTCAGTTTCTGAGATACCCCTCTACCCCAGTCCTACTAGCTGGTATCTCAGTCTTTACCTGGCTCTGGAGAGGACAGAGCCCACCCTTCAGTGTCCATGTATGGAGGCCACACAGAGAAATTGTTTTGAACATTCCTGTACATTCTTTGCCTTGAGTGGTCTCCCCACAGGCAGAGCAGGATACCAGTGATTAATTACTGTTCCCATTTAGATGCACCTGTCATGGGCTGGGTCCCCAAGAATGTTCCCTTGCTCATTACTTGCTTCTCAGTGCTGCCCACATGCAGGAAATGATGCTAAACCTCAGAGACAGAAAGCTATATGCCCCCAGCCATCCTGCTCCCCTGGGGACCCTGCCAGGACCCCCACCTGTTTCCTGCCACCTCCCTGGCTGTTCTATCTCCTCTGCCCCTATTCCTTCTCTACCTCTCTGTCCCAGAAGCACCCCCGTCTGGGCCTGGTTCCCAGGCTTCCCTAGCCCACCCACTCCCTTACAGATGACACCCAAATGTACCTCCAGCACTGGCCTCTTCCCAGAACTCCAGGCCCCAGTGTCTACCCAACTCCTCAGAATTTCCACATGGAACCTAACTGACATCTCCAGCCCCATGTGTCCAAATCTGAGTCCCAGTCCTCTCCTCTCTCCACCTCTGCCTTGCAATTGGCCCCTCTGTCCTTCCAAATGCTCCCACCCCTCCCCTGGCAGTCCTTCTTGAACCTCCTTCTTGGACCTCCTTCCCAGCCCTCTCCCCCGTGGAAAAGAGAACAAATCCTGTTGGCTCCACTGCCAAAACGGAATGGGAACCCAGCCCCCCTCATCATGTCCACCAGCCTGGTCCAGGCCCAGGGCTGGGGCCTTTCCCAACCTCCAAGCTTAATCACCACCAATCCTATTTTACAAGTGGGGAAACTGAGGTAGGGCTCTTCCCCAGGATCACACAGAAAACCCACTTGGGCTAGCGGAACCAGGTCTGCCCCTTCCCTGAGGTCCGCAGCTCCCTGGTGGAGTTTTCTCTTACAGCTGGCTTAGCAGGTCGGACCACATGGAGGAGCGGGCTGTGCGCCTGCGTGTGTGTCCCTGAGGAACAAAGAGCTGCCAGCTGGGTTTATGTTTCAAGACGTCTGTCCCCGCCCTTGACCAAGAGATCCTAGAGGGAAACTGGGGCCAGGGCCGAGTGTGGGGGGAACAAGGGGGAGCTGGGACATCAATCGGAAGCCGCCTTGCCTGGAAACCGGAGAGTCCTCCCCGACAGCCCCAGGATCACTTGAGGAGGCCAGAAACTGCAGGGGCGGGCTGGGGCTCGCTCAGCATTTATTCCATACAGCTGTTTGAAAAGCTTGTTTAAAATATAATCATTATATATATATATATTTATATATATAAAATATATAAAGAGGAACTGAGGTGAGCCACCCCAAAGAAAAAGCTATGTTTTATAAATATTTCTGTAGCTCCCACATCCCAAAGGAGGAAGAAGAAGGAAAAAAAAAAAAACCCGAAAAACATTTACAACCCAATCTAGTGGTTCCATGTGGTGGGCCGAGGGCCCCGCAGAACATTCCCAAAGGCTCATCTTCGTGGCCCCGAAAGGTCAAGTCCACACAGTCTCACCAGCCTCTTACCCTGGCTGCTTGGACCAGTCTGGAAGGCAGCGCGACACTCCAGGGCCTGGGGCTGCCAGGTTATTTTTAATCTTGTCGGCTCCTTTGATGTCTCGGCCCTCCTTCCAGAGTGACCAGGCCTTCTGTTCCTGGTGGCTTCCAAGTGGAGGCAAAACCCAAGCCGCCTCCCGCGCCTGGCAGCTGGAATTGGCATGGGAAAAGTCCAGGGGGCGCCTCCAGGCCCCGCCCGGCTGAGGGTCCGAGGAGTCGGCGCTCCTGCTGGGCGAGGGCGTGGCCTCACTTGCAGACGTAGCGCTCCACGGTGCGCTCGCAGCTGTGGCAGGTGACGTAGCAGCACCAGTGATACTTGCAGCGGCACCGCTCTACCACGCGGTCCGTGTAGGGGTTGTAGCCACGGCCACAGCACATGAGGTCGCAGCTGTCACTGCCGTTGGACGTCTTGTTGCACTGCCTGGGGGGTGGGAACTTGAGGTCAGTGAGTGCTCTGTGGGTCGCCCCAGGGCCCCACCTGCAAGCCTCCCCATGGCCGTGGTTCTCTTGATCTCCTGATCTCCGAGGAATTTGAAGTAATCCTCTTGCCTAGGGTATGTCTAATCCCCTCTATTCCCATTACCAAAATGATGGGGCTGTTTTGTTTCCTGGGAGGTGTCTCTGTTTCTTCTACTTCTAAATACCGAAAGGCTCCCCACACCAGTCCAATCGTCCTAACTTCACATTGAATTATATTATAATCGATGTGAGAGTCAAATTTACTTTCAGAATCTCAGGACAAATTCTGAAACACATAAAATGGCCTTGGGGGAGAGGTGAAGTGAGTTGGGCACACTGTGGAGGGAGAGAGGCTACTGGCACTCAACTCCTAGGTGTCAGGCGTGTCCCTCCAGAATTTTAACTTTCTGGAGGCCTGCAATGTCCTTGGTTGGAGGGTGCTGTTGTCCCCATTATCCAGACGACGCAGGCTTGCCAAAGGGCAGAGGCCTAGGACTCCCACTTGGGTCCATGGACAAGCAGGGCTTACGTTCTTTCTGGCACCAGAGCCACTGCTCATGTCTCTCCCCTAAGACCCATGGCTCATTACTGTAGGATGAGGAGCCACCAAAGTTTCCTCTGAAGTGCACACACCCTTCTGCTGCTATCAGCTCCAGCTAGTCAAGAGACATCTGTTCAGATGGTCTCCTCTAGCCAGGCTGAGGCTGGAGAGGGAATGTTTTATGGGAACAGAGCAGCAGGAATCTGGGCACCAGGCAGAAACAAAAGGCTCCCACAGCCTTTTGTTTGCCCAAGGTGGCAAGCCCTAGAGATGACTGAGGCATCTCATCTCTCCTGGGTGCTCCATGGTGCTGGGGATTGAACCCAGGGGCACTCCAGCACTGAGCTACATCCCCTTTTATATTTAACTTTATGTTGAGATAGGGTCTTGCTAACTTGTGATCCTCCTGCCTCAGCCTCCCAAGTCACTGGGATTCCAGATATGCATCACTGTATCCAGCTAGCCAATCCTCATCTTGATGGATGAGGAAACTACAGCAGAGTATGAAGAGGGGACTTGCCCAAGGTCCCACAGGCTGAGCACAGGCTCTGCAAGAGTTCAGGAGAGAGGAGGGTCATCTAGGCTAACCCACATAAGATGAGCAGGCATCTAACCAGAAGAGGAGGGGAAGGGTGTTGGATAGAGGGAGCAGCCCAGGCAAAAGCAAAGAGTGTGTGTCAGAATAGTGAGAGAACAGGTGGAAGGATAGGGCTGGAGGCAGGAAGGCCAGGAGGAGGCTGGCCTGAACTGGGCAGGGCCTTGGAGTGAGAGAGGGCTTATGGGAGGGGACCCCCTGGAGAGTCAGCAGGTGACTCAAATATGGAGCTGGGGGCAGGAGGCAGGAGGCAGGAGGGAACACCAGGAAGATCACATGCCTTAGAGCCAGGCAGACCTGGATTCCAATACAGCTCTGCTCATCACTGGCTGTGTGACTTAAGTCATTTAACCCTTATTTAGTCACTCAACACCCACAAGTCCCCTTATCCCTATCCAGCAGGTCTCTGGTTAACCACTCTACCCTCTGGAATAGGAAGGGCACAGAGTTTCTTTTTATTCCTTGACTGTTGACATGAAATTGTGCCTGGAATGGGAATTGGGAAGGTGGTGCCATGGGGCTGGGGAAGATCCTCAGGGACGCCTGGGAGTGGTGGCACAGGCTGTGGGGGGAGGGCGGGTCTCTGGGTGCAGGCCTCTGAAAGAATCATGAGAGGGCTGTGGTTTGGAATGCTGGCAGCAGGTGAGGCCTCAGTTTCCCCAGCTCAGACATGAGGAGCTGCAAGGCTGGCTCCAGAGTGCACAGGCCGGACTGCCACCAAGGCCTGGTCATGCAGCCCCTGCTCCCAAGGCCCCAGCCCCTAACCACACCTCCTGCTCCAGGAAGTCTTCTAGAAGCCCAGGCCAGGTCAGGGCCCCTCTGGGATCCCCTTACTTCTGGACACCTGAGGACTCTCCCCACTTCCCAGGTAGGTGAACCACAGCTAACCTGAGATGCTACGCCTGTTGGCACAGAGACACTGGGGCTGTTTGTTACTACAGCAAAAGCCAACCAGCACCAACCAGCACCAGGGCCTGCAAGGGCCATGGGGGAATGCCTGCAAGCCGGTGTGCTAAGAGAGCAGGCATGGTGCTGGTCCATGGACCTTCCAACAGTGGTGGGAGAGGGGCAGAAAGGAGAGAGATTGACAACCCAGCACAGAGGAGATGCTGGGAAGTGAGACTGGAGCTCCATCTGGTTCAGGAAGATGAGCCTGAACCTCAGATCAGTACAGGCGCCGGGCTCACCCAGCTAGGAAGCTGTGCCCTTTTGCAACCCACACAGAGCCACTCACAGGTCCAGGGAGACCCTCTCTTCACTCTGAGGTCTTCAGTGGACTTTGTTTAGCCCCTCTGTGTTCTAGAACCTTCTTCCCTCTCCTTGCCCCCTCACACCCACCCTGCAGCCTCAGCCCAGACTCTCGCTCCTTCCTGTCTCCCTGGCCTGACCCATTTCATCTCCACTCAGCCCAACCCCTCAATCTGGCCTCCAGATGGGGCCTGGACCTCCTCACAGAGCCTGCTGCCCTGGCCTGTGGGGACAGAGCCCCCAAGCCACCCCCCTCCTAGAGACAGGAACGTGGGCCGCGGAGGAAGCAGATGCTGGCTGGGCACCAACTATGTGCCAGACGCGTTCCCAGACACCCGCTCTCAGTTCAATATTCCTCTAACCCCGCTGAACACCAGTTTTGTGGAATGCTATTAGGGGCTCCTTAATAAAAGAGTTCCCCAGCCAAGCACCTCTGGGAAACACTGCCTTAATCCAACCCTTCACTGGGGCTTCCTCAGGCCCTTCAATATGTCCTTGTGCCTGGTGCCTTGTGCACGGCCAAGGAGAGCTTCCCAGACATATCTGACCAGGGAGCTCTTTCTGTCCCCATAGCTCAAGACTAGCTTTCTCTCCACAGGTGCTCACCTGGATCCTCACCAGTCCTGTCTCACAGCAGGTCTTCAGCCACCCCTGGCCCCTCCTCTCTCCTGTCCTGAGCTCCCTGCGGCAGCTGTGATTGACCAGCTATGGGGGACCCCAGCCCCAGCTCTAAAACTGGGTCCTTGGGAGGACATGGGAGAAAATGGGACTGGGGGAGGGCTTGCACATGTCAGGGGGCACAGGGTCATCCCTCTATAAGACAGGCAGACCACACTGTCCCCCAGTTCCTCAGACTGGTTGGGTGGCCCAGCTGGCCCCTGTGCCCACCTCCCTGGTGCCTCTCAGCTGATCACATCCCTTATCCTTCACCTGGTTACTTGACGAACATTTATTGAGCACCTGTTTTTCTGTTGGGAAGCCTTTCTCCTCTCTCGGTCATTGTCTCTGGCCATCTAGGGGAGAGGCGGCCGGGGGTCTCATGCCAGCCTCCACTGCCCACTTCCGGCCCTCCCAGAAGTGCTGCAGCGACCCTTGGATCTCTCATCTCCACTCAGCATTCCTGGGGCCTCCCCCTCCACTGGGCAGGGGCTCCACGCTCCGGGTGCCAGTGGAGCCCCACCGTGTGTGGCCCGAGCAGAGTGCAGTGACGGCAGGGTGACCTGCCCTTACCTGTCCTGTGTGCCGTGGGAGCCCACCTTCTCGTTCTTCATGCAGAAGTCAGGCGAGCTCTGCAGATAGACGAGTTCTGAGTCCTTCACAGGCCGGATATCCAGGTCCTTGGGCACCAGGTGCTTGCGGGTGCCCATGGGTCGGTGAACTACCTTGGTGGCCGACAGGTAGCGGGTCTTGAGGTCAGCGGCCACGTCCCGCAGCTCCTGCAGCCCCTTCCAGCAGGTGCGGATGGAGCAGGAGCCAGACACCCCATGGCACTTACACTTCGTTTCCAAAGAGGCACGTAGAGCCTGCAGACAGGGGGGACGTCAGGCTGGGCGGCCGGAGCCCCCTCCTTGGCCTGCCCAGGACCCTTGACCCCCAGTATGTGGCTGGGCACTCTCACAAGACTCATGCCCAATGGCCTCCAAGGGTGGACTGTTTGGCTCTAAAGCTTGGAGGTCTGTGAGTTGAGGTCCAACCCAGAGGTAGGAGGATAGCTGGGAGGGGCAGGAAAAGAGTAGCATTTGCAGGGACAACAGATGCCACTTATTAAGCACTTACTGTATACCAAGCATTCTAACACATGATACAGGTGAATCACAATCACAGCCCATCTAGGAGGTACCATTATCTCCCCCACTTTAAAGAGGCAATGAAGGCTCGGAGAGGTGAAGGTTCATGCCCAAGTTTGCACAGATAGAAAAATCATGAAGCTGGATTTGAACCCAGGTTTGAGGGTGATTCCAAAAGCTGTGGGCTTTAATCGTTCCATGCCTTTTCTCTCCTACAAAACTTGGGCTTGCTAAATGCTTGCTGGGGAGCGGGAAGAAAGAATGGAAGGAAGGGAGTTGGGGAGGGATGGCAAGGAAGAGAGGGAAGGAGAAGAGGCAGGGTGAGTGCTGGGGCACCTCCTCCCCATCAGCCCTGGGCCAGCCATGGCTCTCCACTGTCAGTGCTTCTGCCCGGAAGACCCTCAGCAAGCATGGCACCCCTCAGCGTCACTACTCTGTCTTTTTCCATGCAAAGCAGGAACGCCATTTCTACCTTGCAGAGTGCCCTGGGATTCAGTGAGGTGATAGGTAATAAAGGGTTTGTAAATTATGAAAATAACAACCCTGTGGAAAGTGGGAGGATTGGGCCTGGAGGCTCAGGTAGACTCTAGACCTGGCTTCAGGCTCAGTGCAGCCCCACTTTCTCCCTGGGCCTCAGTTTCCCCATTTGTGCTTGAGGGGCAGGAGTTTGGTGCCATCTAAGGGCCTATGTGTGTGTGTGTGTGTGTGTGTTACCAGGGATTGAACTCAGGGGCACTCAAATCACTGAGCCACATCCCCAGCCCTTTTTTACATTTTATTTAGGGACAGGGTGTCACTGAGTTGCTTAGGGCTTCACTAAGTTGCTGAGGTGGCTTTGAACTCGTGATCCTCCTGCCTCAGCCTCCTAAGCCGCTAGGATCACAGATATGTGCCACCATGCTTGGCTAAGGGCCTTTTTATTCAGCTTTTTAACCCCCTTTTATTTTCACAGGACTCAAACCCCTACCTGGGCCTGGCCTCCCACCTGCCCTGTGCAAAGATCTACAAGGGTCATTGGTCACCTGTGCTCACCCCCTGCATCGGAGAGATGGGGAAACTAAGGCAGCAAGTGGGCATGGAATTGCCTAAAATCACTCAGTAGCTAGGGAGGAAGCTGTTCAAGTTCCTAGAGTTCCTTCTCCCTCATGAGTGGCAGGACCTGGGGACTGAGGGAGTCCATTTTGGATGTAAAATCTGGAATTTGCTGAGCAGAACCTGAGGAAGGCACGGGGTTAAACAGCACAGCAGGCTTCGGCCTGGAGTCCTCAGAAGGTAAAGCAGACTCGGCCACCCCGTGCCAGTGCCAACCTGAGGCATTTACAATGTCATTCACTGCACTGGCAGGGAGGGGCTGGGGGTGCTGTGACCAGGGTGGCAGGAGGCCTGGGGCTGGCCCTGGGGTGGGCTGGGGCGGGCTCCTGCTGGGTCTCCATGGATAGGTGCAGGTCAGCAGAACTGGGAGGCAGGACACAGACTCCCATACAAGCTCTGGGATTTGGCCTCAGTTTCCCAGATTGGGCAAGGATGGCCTGAACATTCTAGAAACCTCACATGAGGGAGATCTTTGAGAGGCACCGAAGCCTCTGGTCACGGGGTCCCCCAAACTTGGGCTCCATTGCACCTTGTGTCCCTGGCTGGGCCACCTAGGTAGGTTCTTTCTGCCTCACCTGGCATCTCTGAACCGCGGGGCCAAGGGGCATGTGAGACGCCATCTGTACATGACTCTGGCTGAGGAGACCCTGCCCGTCTGGGGCCTCTTCCCATCTGTACAAAGGGGAGGACAGCTGCTGCCCCGAGTGGTTTACGGACCACAGGAAAGAAAAGCAAGCATCTATCGCAGGGTTTGGACCATGGATTGGTGTCAGATGTGCTTGTTTGTTTTAATTTTTTTGAAACTAGAAAGGTCCGTTGGTTCACTTGTGCTGTTTTTTGTGCTATTAGATGAGGAATTAATGAAAAATTGATGATGATAGATGTTGGGGTGTGTTTCAGAGGTTGGGGTCGGCTTGGCTGGGGCTCCCTGTCCAATCCAAGGAGATGACTCCTTAGCCTAAGTTTCCATGGCTCCTGGTCCCTCCCAGGGCTGTGGAGCAAGGCACAGGGGGGCTGAGCACCCATGCACCATTTTATAGATGGGAACAATTGAGGCCAGAGAGGAAGTGACTGTCCAGCATCACCTCAGCCATTCAGAGCTCGTGACTCCCAGCTCAGGGCTCCTTCTGCTGGGACAAGCCAGATTCGGTGGACCTGGGGAGGAGGGACCAGCCAAGCCCCAAGCAGCTGGCTGGAGAGGGAAGAGCTGAGGGAGGTCACAGGCGCGTCAGGCGTGGGCAGTCAGGGCCCGTCCCCCGCCCCCCTCCAGGGGCACACCGACGGCCTTCTCTGGCCAATGGCACAAGCACACCATCCGGGGGTGGGTGGTTACCTGTCTCCCCACTTCACTGTTGTGTAGACGCATCAGTTTATTGGCTTGGGATCCTGTTTTTTTCACCTTCATAGGAGCATCGGAAAACTTGGCTCCCATGAGGAGCCCGTAGCTGAGGTTGTCCGCACATCCTCCCCAGCGGTTCCCAGGCCCGGGTGGCTCACCTGGGACGGGGCCGCAGGAGCAGCCGGGCAGGTCGCCAGAGGTGCAGGCCCGGGCGATGGCGTGGCTGATGGCGGCCGCCGACAGCGCATACACGAAGGCCGACTCCCGGGTCCCTGTGGGGTGGGAGGTGCATGGTCACTTGGGGCAGGTGGTCCAGGGATAGGACCGGACCCAGGTCTGAGACCCTCCTGCATCACCCCCACCCCACTGAGGGGTCAGACAGGGACAGGGTGGTGTAGATGGAGGATGGCACTAAGGCCATCAGTCTGTAAGTCTTATCCCACAAGTGTCCCCCAAATACACCAGCTGGCTGGCACACTCCCCTCAGCCCCTGCACACCCACAGCTCACCCCACTCACATCCTGCCAGGACCCTTCGCTCTAGAGAAGCAAAGGCCAGGCCCTGAGCTCCTCAAGGCGCTCAGAGCCTGATGGGACAGGTGAGTGCGCAGAGAGCCTGCTGCAGGTTGAATCACGTCCCCAAAAAAGGACATGTTCAAGTCCTGCCTCCTAGCGCCTGTGTGACCTTATTTAGAAATAGGGTCTTTGCAAATGGCACCAAGCTAAGATGAAGTCGGACCACATCAAAGACCTTGAATCAGTGGCCGGTGCCCTTAGAGGAGAGGGGATTTGGGATCCATGACACACAGGGAGAATGCCAGGAGGGGACTCCTTCCTCTGAGGTGTGGTGGCCCACAGTCCCCTCTGCGCCCAGGAGGAAGGGCTGAAGAACGTGGCAGATGGGGACTGTCGTGCTGCAGCTGCAGGGATTGCCTGCAGCCACCAGAAGCTGGGAACAGGCAAGGAAGGAGCTTTCCCAGGGGCGCGCAGAGGAAGCAGACCCTGCCAAGGACTCGATTTCAGACTTCCAGGCTCCGGAACTGGGAGCATTTTGGTTGCTTGAAGCCAGCCAGTCTGTGGCACACCGTCACAGCTGCCCAGGAAACTAATCCGGGCAGAAGCAACGTGCCTTGGCTGGACACTGTCCCCTGGGTCCGAGCTCTGCTCCATCTCTTAACTGGCAGTCACTTCCCCTTCAGGAGCCTCAGTTTCCTTAGCCGCAGAGTACAGAGATAGTACCCCCGGCAGGCCCGAGCTGGCCTCCAGATAACTGAGGAGGAAGGAAGGAGGCCGCATCGAGTGCTACACAAACAGGAGCTGTCACTGCTTAGGATCCACAAGAGGAGTTATTATCACACAGTGGGGAGATAAGACCCACTTGGGTGTTTCTGTCTGTCAAAAGTCTCTCTATCATAGCCAGGTCCCCAACACCCGCCTCCTCCAGGAAGCCTGCTTCACAGATGTCCTGTCCCTAACCCCGTGTGCACCCGCAAGACCCACAATTTCCATCAGCTGAGCCTGGCACCAGGGTGCACGCCAGTAATTCCAGCGGCTTGGGAGGCTGAGGCAGGAGGATCATAAGATTCAAAGCCAGCCTCAGCAACTTAGTGAGGCCCTGTCTCAAAATAAAATAAAAAAGGGGGGGGGCTGGGGATGTGGCTCAGTGGTTAAATTCAATCCCCAGTACTCCTCACCCCCACAAAAAAAATTTCCATCCGCTGGTCTAGGATTGCCTGGGGCACACCTGCTACCTGAGGGTGGGCTCTACGGCCTTCTCACTGATATAGTCCCTGGCTGACCTTCAGGACCATGGGAACGACCTTGGGGCATGCTGTGAGCATCCTGCTTCCTCCGCCCATGCTGTGGGGTGTGTGTGCACCTGTAGAGTCTCAGGCTCCCTGCACTGGCGTGTCACTCGACAGTGTTCACTCACTCGCTGGCTCACGCCTGAATGCCCGTACCTATGAATGACTCATGCACCCATCGGCCTGCCCAGCCGTGCCTGCGTCCGTGCCGGTCCGTCATCCACCGATCCACTCATCCATCCACGAGCCTGTGAATCCACCCATCCGTGAATCCACCCACCTATCCAAACACACCTAGATTCACGCCTGAATTCACTCACCCCCACCCGCGTGCTGTCGATAGCCCCGGCCCTACCTCTCTCCAGGTCAAGCAGGTAGTTGGGGGCGAGCTCAATGGAGGAACAGTTCCAGCGCATGTCGGCGAAGGCCCTGCGGCAGGCCTTGGTGACTTCGCGGGCGGCGCGCACGATGGTATGCATGAGCTCCAGGTTGCTGCGGCACAGCTGGACCTGTGCAGACACCAGGCCCTCCAGCTGCTTGCAGTGCTGCGTCTGGTTCAGCGCCAGGGCGGCCGGCGTCTTGGACAGCGCCCTGCACACCGCCGCCGAAAACGACCCATGGAAGAAAGACAGGGCTGTGAGGGGCCCTGTTGCTGCGGCTGGCCCTGCCGGCTCAGCTGTCCCCTCAGTGACTGGAGCTTTTCTTGGAGGGAGCCAGGAAAACCAGAGGTAAAGAGCCAGGATGGAGCAGCAGTTCCCCCTCCTACTCCTGTGTGACCTTGGGCACATTGTTTGCCCCCTCTGGACCTAAAGCCCTAACCATAACATAGGATCACAACCCCAACCCACCTGAGCCACATGACAATTGTACCAGCACTAAAGGGGTCTGCAGCTCACAAAGCCCTCTCATCCCTTGCTATCCAGAGTTCTCACCGCAGCTGTGAATGATTTCTCTTTACTCAACATTCATTCAGCACTGAGCAGCTATGTGCCCAAAACTGTGCTAACTGCTAGATTATTATAATCATAGTAATTACATATACTATTAATTGAGCATTTACTATATGCCCAGGATGAGTTAGGAGCTCTTCATCTTTTCATTTAATTACTAAACCCATTTGCTATGTCGTGAGGCCTGTAGCCAGGCAAAAGATTTGGACCCCTTCCCCAGATAAAATCAGCAAGCTGTCCACAAGGATGATGGGGTGGGGGTGCAGGCGGCTAACAGGATGCCAGAGCCCTACAGAATGAGAGAATGCGCTTGGATGAGGAGGGAAGACTTCCAGGCAGAGGAAGGGGCAAGATCAAAGGCGCAGAGTGGCCCCAAGCCATGAGCAAGGACATGTTGGTGTGTTTGGACAGCAGCATCAGCACCAGTGGTCCACAGAGCCTCGTCAGACAGGGCTTCCTGACCTAACTGGATCAGTTCCAGGCTGCCTAGGCCTCGCCTTCTTGGGGTGCCTGTTGTCTAAACCCCCCAAGCCCTGACTGAGAGGGCTCTGACTGCGCATGCCAACGCCATGGCCTCTGTGGGCTCTTGGTGGTTTACAGCCCCTCCAGCTCCTCCCAGCATCGGCTCCATTTCCCAGTGAACAGAGCTCTCACTCCTCGGCTCAGGGGTCATCCTGGACCAGATTATCACATATGAGGACAGAGGCCCAGCCAGTGGGGGAGCTTCCCAGCATCCCCCTGTGAGTTGGTCTTCCCTCCCCAGCAGGCCCAGGCCCTCAGGGATGCCTGGGCCTCCTTCCTGGGCGCCCTGCTCTGCACTAGCTGGCCCGAGCCTCCCTGCTCTTGCTCTTGCCAGTTTGTTCCTTTACTTTGAGTCTGTTTTCTCAGTTTTAAAATGGGAAGGATTGCATGAGTGACAGCAAATCAAACATGTGGCCTAATGGCAGGAGCACAGTGCAAGCTCATGCAGCGTGGGCTGCCGTCCATTCCCTAGGCTCCTGTTCCAGCCAAGAAGTAGGGTGACGGCTGATCCTGTCTCAGTGCAGGCAGTGCCTGAGTGCTGGGTGCCACAGCTCCAAAGGAGGGGAGCTCTGAGCTCCCAGGACCTGATGCTCATTGCCTGGGGCCCTGAGGACCCCGGCAGCCACTTTGGGTCTTAACTTCCATCTATGAAGTCATCAAGCAAGGGCCTCCCCAGCTAGCAGTGAGCAAGGTCCTATGAGGGAGGCCCCAGGGACCCACTGGCTGGGACAGGAGCAGCTGGCTACAGTCCGCGGGGGAGGCTTCACCTCTGGAAGCACCAGGCGGAGGCAGCAGACTCCACAGCAGAGGAGGCCCGCAGTCCTCTGGTAATTAGTGGTAATGACCGTTTCTAACTAAATCCCCCTTGGGGAGGTAATCAAGGACTAAGGCAGGAGGTGGGGGAGTCGCTGTGTGGATGTCTCCCCAGGCTTGCCTCCCTCCGCAGACCCCTAATTGGAAACATTTTGGTTTATCTAGGGGTGGGGTGTGGGGGAGAGGGTGGAAGAAAGGACAGGAGGGAACAGAGAGTTCACCCGGAGGCCTGTGCCAGGGTTCTGCAGGGGTGGCGGTGGGCAGCAGGCTTCTCTCACTCAGGATTCAGGGGTCTACTGGGACTGGCTCTGACAGAGGCTTGGTTCAAACTCTGGCTCAGTCACCACCTACCACGTGACCCTGCATGTTGCTACCCTTCTCCCAGCCCCATAGAACACATCCATAGTGTTCTATGCCCAGGACTGACACAGGCTCTGATGGCGGGGACATTTTAGGGTGACACAGGAACTGGGCAAATGGCTTCACCTCTCCCCCATCGCCTGAGCCATGTACTCCCTCTCCTTTCCGCTACACCAGCCCATCTCTGCGCCTGGGTGGTCCTTCCCCCTCCGCCTCCTGCAGGGCCACGGCATCTGCCCAGCTTCCTCCAGGCTCCCCAGTGCCCACCCTGCCCAGCCTATCACTGAGTGGTCTTACTGAGGTTGTCAGCAGCCCTACCTTCACCTACCCAAGGTAAGGCCACCTCGAAAGAAGGGCCTCCATCCCTCTTGCCCAGGCACAGAGGCAGGCCATATGATGAGATCTTAGCCAAAGACCTACGGTCAGGCTTCGAGAGCCCCAGGGTCTCTGCCATGCTGCAGTCCATTCTTTATCAGATGCTTCGGTCACGGCTCTGGGCTCATGAGGCCTCAGAAGGGTCCCCACTAGCACATCCACAATGTGGCCTGGCAGCTCCTGCCTCCCCCATAGAGAGATGGGATGAGGTCAACAGTCAGTGGCAGAGGCATCCTCAGGATAAGGAGGACCTTGGGCAGGGCTTTGGGTGGACATTAGGGGACCACAAATTTTGACCCAGTGGTTCTGCCTCTGTGGATCTGTTGACCCAGGGGTGGGAAAGCGATGGAGTCTGAGGAGCTGGGGACTCTAACCCACCTGCCCAGCACCTTGGGCTTTCCTGGACTACACCTCATTCTGATGCTCACAGGCAGGGAGGGTGGAGCAAGAGCTGGGCTTCTGTCTAGCCCCCTGGGTGGGCTTGGAGAACTCTTCCATCTGTGACAAGCAAGACTCCTCAGTTAGGCCCTAGGTTTAGGAACCGGGCTCCTCAGAAATGCTCCTCCTTCTCCAGCCACACCAGGCAGGGGACTGCAGCTGCCAGCCCAGGAAGAAGCCCCCAGGCCACATGGCAAGAGTCCTCCTATTCCTCCTAGGAATTTGTCCCAGGGCTTCACAGTCAAGAGGGACCAAGCCAGCTCTCCCTTCCTCCACTGTGGACCTGTGGTGACTCAGGGTGGTGAAGGCCTGGAACTTGCAGATGGAGCCCTACCTAGAGGAGACTCCTAGACCTCAGAAGCTCCCTGCCCTGTCCCCACACATGCTGACCCCTCTGTGTCCCATCCTGCAAGGAAGCCCCAACAGCCTCCATCAGATTTGACAATCGAAAAGCTAAAGGGCAGTGCCAGTTCCCAGGGTGCGAGTGGGAAAACTGAGGCCCAGAGAAGGGCAGGGCTTGCCCTGACCTGTGCACAGCCAATCATACAGATGGAGCTGGAACCCAGGCCTCCCAGGGCCAGGCGGGGGCTCCTCGTCTGAGAGGCTGAAGGGTTGCCTGGGGCTACGTTGGTAGAATGAGCCCAAGCTGAGACTCCCTCCTTCCACTTCACTTTGCAGCAGCTATGGCCCTTCTAGAGTTTCTTGGGACTCTTCCTTAAGAGGCCCCACCCCTGTGTGAGTGGCACAGGGAGGGCCTGTCTTCTCATGGGGCAACCCCACAGGTAATGGGACCACCCTCTGCCCTCCCTCACCCAGACAACCAAAGGGGTGGGTGCCCAGACCTCCCCCCAATACTTGCTGGTCTGGGGATCTCCAAGCACCTGACTTGAGAGGTAAGTTAGAGGAGGGTCTCCAGGAAGCAGGTGCTTCCATTCCTGACTACCATCCCACCTGCTCAGGCAGGTGAGCCCACCAGGTGAGCGTCCCAAGTTACTCAGCCACATCTGGTTTCAGATTCTGTGTCAAATGTCCCTTTCATCTACAAGTCACTTTCCAAAGTCCAGGGCAGCACTGCCCCAGGATTGCCCCAGGACAGCTGATCCTCCTGGATGAGTCCCCAGCATCCTGCTCCCACTGTACCACTGTGCTGGGGTTTCCCTACAGACACCCTGAACTAGCTGTGTGACCTTGCGTGAGTTATTTACCCTCTCTCTACCTTAATCTCCTTGTTTGTAAAAATGGTAGTGATGAGATTATCACCTGCCACATAAGAGCATTCACGAATTAAATGACCACAGCTCTTGGAGCCACATCTGGGGCACTTACTAGCAGGTGCTTATGGTTCCTGGTCTCTCCCAGCTTCCCTGAGGCAGGGTCCTGCCTCCTGCTATGCTCCTGCTGTTCCTCCCATCTGGGACACTGGCTTGGCCTTCCATCTCTGCCCATCAGAATCCTCCAGCCCAGCTGCAGTTACCTCCCTTGGGTGGAACTGACCACTCCTCCTCTGGGATCCTATGCTCCCTCCCAGGATAGCTCACAGCCCACCTTGCATTTTCACATGTCCCTCCCCACCAAGAGGCTGGGAGCTTCTTGAAGGCAGACACTGAGTGGGTAGCGCCTGGGCTACACAGTGCAGATAGCATGGGTGTTGGGCTGAGCCAGCTACCTGTCCTGCCATATGCCAGCTTGAAGGCTTGTGTGAATCACGCACTTCTCAGAGCTTCACTCCTGCCACCATAGGGCCTGGATGTTAGCAGTGTCCCCGTGTCTCCCTGTGAACTACAAATGTCACCTAAGCCCAGTCAGTTCCAGGTCTCTGATGCTCTTTGTGCCCTCAGCAAATCCTTCCCTTCCCCAGGACCTCATTTCCTTATCCGTAAAATGGTGGCAGTGGGAGAGGGTGAGGGAGGATTCTCTCAATGACCGGGGTTCCTGCCCACAGGAAGAATCCTTTGCCTATGGCCAGAGGAAGGTGGTGGTTTCTCAAAGTTCATGAGGGGCAGCTGGGAGGAGCCTATGCCCCAGGGAGGGGAGACCACCTGCCCAGGCCTCTCCTTACAAACAGGAAGCACCAGAAGACAGGGCTCCCCTCTTGAGTCATCAATTAATTGATAACTCAGTTCCAGAAGGGGCAGGGCCCATGACCTCCAGACTGTTTGCTGGCGGCCCAGCCGCTATCTCCCTGTGTTCCAGTTAATCCCCAAGCCCTCCTAGGGGCCCCTCCCCAGCCCCCATAATCTGTTCCCTGCTGTTTTATCTGCATGGTTCGCTGCCGCTGCCCCTGCCCCAACTCCAGACCTGTGTCCTGTCCTGGACCTTCCCACCCTGGGAGTCTCCTCCACCATCATACTCTCCTCCCCACTGTGCCCTGCCTAACTATCTGCATGCAGCTCTGCAGTGGTGAGGGGGCAAGCCCTGGAAAATTTCCCCAGTGTCCCAAGTGTGTGACCCCACCAGGTGGCTTCCTCACCTCTGGGCCCCCACACCCCAGCACCGGTCTCTTCTAGGACACTTGGACACTTGTGGAGTTATTTACGGCCTGGGCTTATCTCTCCCAACCCAGAGGGCAGCTCCTCCAGCAAGGGGCCGGGTTTCACTTCTCTCTCTCCGCACCCATCTCTGTCCAGTGGGCTGCCCACGGAGAGGAGACCTGACCTTCTCCTATGACCCCCTGATATTCATACCCAAAGGAACCCCTGCACGTGTGCACAGCCGCTGACAGCTCAGAGGTTCTCCCCGAGCCTCTTTTCCCATGGAATCTAAGTGAGCTGAGTCTCCCCTCCTCTGAGGGAGGAAGACACTGAGGCTCTCAGAGGTAGAATGACACTTCCCCAAGGTCACCTAGGCTGAGAGGTCAAGAATGTGAACCTCCAGTTGGGGTCAATAGCCTGAGAAGGAGATGATCTAGAGCCGGCCCCTTTGAGCGAGTGCGCCCCTCAACAAGGATGTCTTGCGGAGGTGTGTGACAGACACCTCGGTGGCTTTTGCGCAAACATCAGCTGGCCAGGACCGGACAATTCCATTGCCCGATGCGAAAGCCCTTGGAAAGGACGGCATTTTGCAGAGGAGGAAATCGAGGCTAAAGAAGAATGAATTCCTCACGACCCCCAAGTCATCTTGGATTCCCGGGTCTTGGCAAACTCGACCAGTCCAGGAGACCCCTTTAGGCCCTCCCCTGCCCAAAACTCCCGCCCCGGGCCCCCCAGCTTGGAGGCGAGGTCCCTACTTACAGCCACTTGATGCCATAGCACACGCCGGTCTGGAGTGCCAGGGCGAAGAGCAGAGCCTCGCAGACCTGCGGCCGCGCCCTCATCGTCGCGCCGCGGGCACGCCCGGGGGTCGCACCCAGCAGAAGCCACGCCGAAGTCCCGCCGCCTGCACCGCCACCGCCGCGGGTCCTGCGCGCACGCCGCCTGCAGTCGGGGAGAGGAGAGCGAGGCGGCGGGTTAAGGCGGCGCGCGGACGGGGAGGCGTTTTATTCAAATTACAAAGGAGGGGTCGGACCCGGGGAGGCCAAGCGCGCGGCCCGGCCCTGGGACCCGCCAGAGTCTGGCTCGAATTAGGTGCGGCCAGAGCGCGGCCGAGGGCGTGTCCACCTAGCGCAGCGCCGGCCGCCCTGGAAGGACAGGAGGCTACAGAGTCGCTGGGAGAGACCAGGCGCAGTGTCAGCGGGAGGGAGAGACAGGCTCAGAGAACGAGGCTGAAAGCCGTAGAGGGAGAAACTGGACAGACCTACAGACCCAGGGACCGAAACAAGAGGGGTCCCGGCTGGAGACAGCAGCTTCGAGGCCTGGGATCCGGGTTCTTATCGCCGAACTATTGATCAGTAGCTTCTCCCAAATACCAACACCTGGCATTCGCCTGGAGTCCTACACAGCCCTTGGCGATTCTCCTGATCCCTTCTGTAAACTGGGGTGATTTGGGCACAGTTCACTTTTTATAAGGAACGTTCTCCTAACACGATAGCCTTTGCTCCTCTCGGCAGCCCATCTCACAGATGAGAAAACTGAGGCCACGAGATGTGAAACAGGCTGTTCCAGTGAGCTGTCTTACTCAGTGTTCTGTTCCCAGGTCTATCAGTGTCCCGTGAGATCAAGCGAGTGAGAAGTCAGGAAATGGGGGCTTGCTCCGGGCATCTGTTTCTGTCTGGGAAGGGGAGGATGAGGAATGGGATGGCAAAGTTCTTTATAAAGCAATAGTGAATCAAGGTCTTGAATCTCCGAGTTCCTATTTGGTGGATCCACTTTGGAGGGCAAGAGAGAGTGAGGTGCGTGGCCAGGTTCCAGGCGGGTCCAAGGGGCCTTGGCAGAGCCGAGTAGCTCGCCGAGCCGGCACGATGCTGCCTCACACCGCCAGGCGGCGTCCCAGGGCCGCGCAGCTGCTGCCACCCCGCCCGCTCACAATCCGCAGAGCTGCTTTCTGCGGCTTTCTCCCCCTCTTCATTCTCACCTCATTAACTCCCTTCCCAGCTTCTCCCAAATTTACCAACACCTGGCGTTCGCCTGGAGTCCTACACAGCCCCAGCAGCCCCTTTCCCCTCCGAGGAGCAGAGACAAAGGGATTCCTTTCTAAAGGAATTGCAGAGTTAGAAAAAGGAGGAGCCCGACTGGGGGTGGGGGGTCGCTAGAAGAGAAAGAGTTCTCGTCTGGCACGGTGAGCTTGGGCAAAGCCTCAAACACCTCCAGCCTCAGTTTCCCTTTCTGTAAAATCAAGGGACTGAACTTCACACATCTGCTGAGGTCTTTTCAACCTCCCAATCCTCTTTTGAGTCTTTGAGCCTCCCTCTGCCGGTTTCCATTATTACGTATACTTGTGTAGTATGTGCTAGTACATGTGTGCCATAAGCAAG